TTAGTTTTTCACTATACAGCTGTGTTGCACTCATCTGGGAGGCCACCTTTTTGGGGTGGCTGGCCAGAAATTCTTCTTGAACCTTTTGACCCCTGGTCGGCCGACCAGGGGGAGTGGCCGGCCGGCCACTTGAACTGGCCCGCCTGCTTCTTGCTTTTTGCCCTCTCTGAATGCATCACAGCTGTGGCAGCTGTGAGGCAATTGGACCATCCTCCATACACGTGTATGGAGGATATGTGAATCCCTTTTGGGATATTTTAGAGCCTCTCCTCTATAAAGGGGAGGCTAATCTTCTTTGGCAAGGGTTGAACACCTTTGAAGGCTTACAACTCTCTCTCTCTCTCTATATCTCTACACTTGAGCTTTCAAATCCTAGTTTTCTTGGACCATTTGCAGTACAACCCTTAGCACCACACCTCCTCCATCCATTCCAGCACTTTGGGACTGATTTTCAAGGGTTGAAGGTTCACCAACTTGGTCCAAAAGCTCCAGCTTGGCTGCTCTTCAAGGGTAAGCACCTATTTCCCTTAAACTTGTATTTTTTTGCTCCATTGATTATCCTTACTTGAAAGTATTTCTGGACTTTATCATAAACTAAAAAGTGTCATATTTTGAGCTCCTCTTGAATATTGATTAAGGACACTTTTCTGTTTGAGGTCTCCTACACCCTTGTATGCTTTGTCCCTCTTCGTAGGCTTATTTTGCATCATATCTTAGCCCTACTTGTGAGCATTTCCGAGATTTTTCATAAACTTGAAAAATTTTCCTTTTGAGCTTATAAACATGTTTGTTTAAGATACTTTCTCTATTTGGGGTCATCTACCCCCTTTCATGCCTTATTTCCTCATGTTTTGAGCTATGCATGTGAGCACTTGCATTGGCCTTGATTTGGCCTTTTAGCCACTGAAATCTAGTGGATTTTCAGTGGCTTAGATGTGCCTTCGAGCTTCAAAATCATAGAGGGGTGACCCTCTCACCCCTCATTCTCTTTACTAGCTTTGTTGGCCTCCCAAAAGGGACCCTCACTTGTATGTTGTGAAGTCACTTTTTGGGCTCAATTTAGTGAGATTCAAGGCCTGCCTTAGCTCTGTCCAAAGCCTCTTTGGTCTTATTTTGTGTCCGTAATGCATGTGTAGAACAATTCCATTCAAGGCCTTTTGAGGGGGCCTTTCATTGTATGCTTCATTGACCCATTTCAGGGCCAATTTGGTGAGTTTTAGACTTGTCATATTTGATTTCCAGAGTTGGTTTTGCCATGCTAAGTGTCCTTGTTGTATGTGTTGAGTAACCCCTTGCATGGCCCTCCAAAGAAGCTCATCATTTTTGCATGCATTGGATGCATTTCAGTGGTTATTTGGGGTTTATTTGGCATGAAATACTTCTATTTTTGGCTGGTTGGGTGAGCCCTCATATGATTCATATAGCTGTAGAACAACTCATGGTTCACTAGCCTATGTTGCATGTTGTTTTGACCCTTCATGTTGGCACCTTTTGGCCATGCCTTGAACTAATAATGTGCTCATTTTGTACAAACCTAGCTCTGTTTTTGGGTCTTGTGGTTGAATGATGTTAGTTTTGCATGCTTGTAGTTCAATGCACTTGCCTATCTTCGAGTTTTGAGGTTCGTTGCATGCATGTACTGAGATATTTTCATGTTTTGAACCTATCATTCATCACATTTCAGAGCTTATTTGAATGCCATGTTACCATGTTTTCACTTCTTTAAATGCGTTTGAGAGTCGGGCTTGTATGTCCCATTTACCGACCATTGAATGAGCTCCATTTCGTTGCATTCCGAGTCATCATTTTAGGCCAATTTCCCACTGTTGCAGACCTGCCTAGGGTCTGTTTGGGGTTGGTTTTTCCTTTGGCGCATTTCTTTGGGTACCTCTAGAGTAACGCATTTCATTAGTTTCGGTACCCGGGCCCCCTAGCTTGCATTGTGTGCCATATTTGCATGTTTCGGGACCATATTTCATGCTGTTTTAGAGCTGTAATTTATGTTATTCCATGTCATGTTTCATCCTTGCCATGCTTTGGTAGAGTGGCATTCCATGCCTTAGGTTCGGTCCTTGGTATTCGCGCATGTGTGCACGCATTTCGGTTGTCTCATTTCCATCTAATGGCCACTGATGTGAGTGTGGCTGAGGTCCACTCATTTTGGTGTAAGTCCATCGTGCATTGTGTATGCCATTTCGGTCCATAGCATTGCGTATGCTAGGTTGCATGTTAGAGCATTGTGTATGCCATGTTACATCGTGTATTGTGTATGCCATTTTCGGTCCATAGCATTATGTATGCTAGGTTGCATGTTAGTCGCATTGTGTATGCCATCCCATTTGCATTGTGTTTGGGATAGGAGTTAGCCCAAGCACGGGAAACGAGGGACGTTTCGTACTCCGAGTGACGGAACGTGTCTCAATTCCCGGTCGCCGACACTCCGGATTACCCATGATGGAGTTTAGGTCTTGTTGTGTTTTCATGTGCATTCATTTCACATCGAGTCGTGCAATTCGACTCATCGGCCATCATGCATCGAGATGCGTGATTGATGGCACGAGAATCGAGGACTACATTCCTTGAAGAGTAGTCATGCATACAAATGTGAAAATACTTTGCTGTGCCCCTTTCTTGCTCTCTGTTGCAGCAAATAAGAAATCAGCAGCTTTCTAAAGCCTTGCATAGCATTCCGGGATTAATTGCAAACAGACGTGAATCGGGGCATCGCAATGGATTTTCGCGCCAGGCAACTCAAGCATGCATCATTCATTATTTAGAACAAGAGCTGAGGCAGTCCAGTTTGTAGCTTGCACGTTATTTACTTGCTTTCCTAGTTAAATTGTTATTTAATTAGGGTTTTGTAATGTTTAATTATTCATTCGGACTGTAATTATTATTCGGACTATATTATTTATTCGGACCCTCCGAGCGAGGGCACAATTGTAATAAGTGTGCGTGTATGTGATGTATGTCTTCCAACCCCACGTTTTTCTCCCTTTTATTTACCAACTTATGATGGTTAGTTTAGGGCATGTTTCAATTAGCATACTTATGATAGCATGTTTGCATTCATACATCTGTCTTGCATGCACCGGGCTCGGCGCATCATACTAACTGCATTTGTATTTTAATTCCAAATTGAATACGTATTAGCTGTAACATCATCATATGCCATGTTTAAAATAGCCAAGCCTATCTTAGTTGCATTTTGCATGTGTTGCATTAGGCATTTCTGTATAGTTAGGATCATGCATGGATTTCTAACAGAGCTTCTGTGGCTTGGAGTACTCGGTAAGTTTTATGCTTTAGTATCCTTGCATGCGTGTGAGTGACTGCCATGATAGCATGCTTACCATGAGGCTAATTGCTTATGTGATATAACTGCCTGAATGCCTGTGGATGAAGGTTGGGTTATTTGGATTCGGACAATTTATCAATTGTGAGTTTTAAGCCCACTTGAGAGTGACAAATCATCATTTTTTCTAAGCCTGCCCGAGGGTGGCAAATCCACGTCTTAGCCTACTTACGAGTAGCACCATCAAACCATTTTCAAATAAACAAACTTGAGATGCGTTGTTCTAATTCAGGCGATCCAGTCTATACTTGTATGCTGTGCGCATCACATAGTAAATCTAGACTAATAACCGGAATAAGAATGCATAATGTTTTCAAAACCCGATATCATGGTTAGTAGAGGCCGAATCATATGCCATCTTAGAATAGCCGAGCCTATTGTAATTGCATTCCTGTATGTATTGCATTAGGCATTCCAGCATAGTTAGGATCATGCATGGATCTTTAACATAACTTTTGTTTTGGCTTGGAGTACTCGGTAAGTTTTATGCTTTAGCATCCTTGCATGCGTGTGAGTGACTGCCATGATAGCATGCTTACTATGAGGCTAATTGCTTATGTGATATAACTGCCTGAATACCTGTGGGTGAAGGTTGGGTTATTTGGATTGGGACAATTTATCAATTGTGAGTTTTAAGCCCACTGGAGAGTGGCAAATCATCATTTTTTCTAAGCCCGCCTGAGGGTGGCAAATCCACGTCTTAGCCTACTTACGAGTAGCACCATCAAACCATTTTCAAATAAACAAACTTGAGATGCGTTGTTCCAATTCAGGCGATCCAGTCTATACTTGTATGCTGTGCGCATCACATAGTAAATCTAGGCTAATAATCGGAATAAGAATGCATAATGTTTTCAAAACCCGATATCATGGTTAGTAGAGGCCGATCTTTGATCGGGCGAGCGGGGGTGCTCACGAAGTGACCTTCCCCAATCGTACCCAAGTTCCTGAGCCGAGGCAACTTTGGTGATGACGGACACGTGGCCTTAGGCAACGAGTCAGGGTTTCCTAAATTTCTCAAAATAAAATATTTAGGTGGCGACTCTGTATCTGGCAAAGCAGTCCATGTTTGACACTTCTTTCAAAAAAATCTGTTTTCAAAAACGATTTGCCGAATTTGGACTCTTTGATGATTCATCGGTTTTACATTGCACTCTACGAGATTAGATACAGGACCGTGACAATTTCAGTCCGAATTATAATGAGGCCCAAGGGCGCGCCTACAGTGCCCCTCAGTAATTGCTAGAGGGAGCACGTGAGAGGTAGGTGCTGGCTTTCCGTCCAAAATTTCAAACAGGCGCCAATTATTGGACAAAATTGACACATTTCATTAAATTGAGGGGCTAAATCGTGTAATTGAAAATGTCAGTGATCAAAATGACACACGGGGTAAAATATAAAAACTATTTTTGTAATTTGCCTAAAAATTTAAGTTAAACTCGGATCTGGATACTAAAATTTTGACCAAAAAAAGTGACTTTGAAAACAAAATATTATTAAATAGAATAATTACAAAAATAAAAGTATTGAAAAGTTGACTGCCCTAAAAACATAAAATAAAAAATAAAAATTTGCCAAAAAACATCTTAGGTCACAACAATGAGGTACGTTTTAACCATTAGACTGCTTTTAACGAATACGGGCATTGCTAAACTAATTCAAATATAGGCACTTCGAAATTAATTCACCAATGTTGGCAGTGAAAACTTAAGTACTGTCTTGCAACTCTCTGATCCAAATACTCCAAATACTTCCACACTACTAGGTTTGCATCTAAAGAGAAAAAAAAAAATTATAAGAAGGGGAAAAAAAAATTAAGCAAAAACAAAGAGAAGAGAATATATGAGAATGGATATGCCATTTCAATGCCCCATGTTGGTGAGACATATCCATGACATAGACAACATCTCCTTTCGACTGCTTTTTTTCGGGTCTCAGCTGCAAGGCATGGACAAGAAGAGCTGTGGAATCTGATCTGCTTGGAAAGAGCTTTTACATAAAAAAGATATTGAAATGATACAAAGAAAAGCAGCCTTTGAAAGGATATCCATAGCATATTCCATTTCTTCATAGGTTTACTCTTTTTTCGCTGATCAAAAAATAAAAACATAAAAAAATAAAAAAAAAGATACCCGATGAAATGCTTATAAAAATGGAACAAGCTTTTATCACTCTCGAGCCTGCATAACGCAGAAGCAAGCAAGCAGTTCAAATAATATGCAATTATACAGAGAGAGAGAGAGAGAGAGAGAGAGAGAGAGAGGAGTTTGATAAGCAAACCAGTGATAGGGCTACTCTTTCTTGGCATGTAATTAATGGAGAGATTCGTTGAATATTTGGTGCAATGCATATAATTCCAGTGAGATATATATGCCAAAGGAGAGTTGCCCTGTCACTGATTTAGCTTAATGTATGGTGGCTTCTACTGTAATGCTTCAAACTCATGCTAAAGGTATATGAGGTAAATGAGGTTAAAGGGTATGCATGTTTTCATATTTCCTTGTTTTATATTTCTTTCCTACTTAACAATTTCTTTAAACCCCTTCTCTTTTATCTAAAAAAAAAAAAATTGTTATACAAAAATGAATTTCTGACCGGCAAACACATACTAGTGGTCAGTGAAAACGAAATGTAATTATAATTTTACATTCAAATTTTTTAGCGATTTTATAAATGAAGAAGAGAAGTTAAATCTAAAAACTGCTACAAGTTATTTTTAATTTTTATGGTTATTTAATAACTCCAGTGATATACTTATAAAATCCCCTCTCTTTTTGTTTTGAAATGGAACTCAGATTCTAATATATGGGCGAACATTTATATTAACAAAAATATTTTAAAGAAAAGTAGATTATATCATCAATTTCTACAGACAATAAAAGGCCAAAAATAGCATAAAAAGCATATTTACCGATTGTAAGGCAAATCTATCGACTAGTTGTGAGAAACCAATTTTATTTTTATTTTTTTTGTAATATTTTATCCAAATTGTTAAATTTTATACTTTGAATCTCATGTTTCAAAAATATAGAAGTGTGGGTTGCGCAGCCATAAAATATTTTTAGAACCTATAGGGGCTAAATATGTTGGGATTTATTCGACCTTCCACCAACATGAATGGAAACACATCCATGTACACACAAAAGCAAAAATATAATCACACTATTTTGAGTGGTACAACCCAAATTTTCTACATCAACGGCAAACAGATTCTACAATTAAATAAAATAGAGAATACATATTAGATGGCCAAAAGACTAAATCTACCCCACTGCCCAAACCTTATGCTTGAGAGTAGTTGAGTCCGTACTCACCCAAGTGCCAACGGTATTGTTTCTTTCACCCCTTATATCTCTATCTTACCTAATCTACTCATAATTAAGAACCCTAATTCTATACAATTAGAGAAAACCAAAACATGTATCTCTATGTCCAATCTACTATGAAGTTCTTGGTTGAGAATTTGTAGGCAGGATTAAGAGTCTCATCGTACTATATGAATCCTATATATGTTGGACCATTGTGTCTTATGGGACGTGGAATTGAAATCTTATGGGATTAAATTATAAAATGACACATTTACCTTCTAAGTATTTGATTTCATTATGTATTGTATTTAATAAAATAAAATATAAAAATCTAAATTAAAAAAATAAAATTTTAATTTTTATTGATGTAAATTTTTTTAAATAAATTTTTATAGATATTTTATTTAAAATTTTTGTTGATATTTTATTTGATTGATATTAATTTCATTGTTTATTATTTATTTAATTTCATTATTTAATATTTATTATTTTTAAAAAAAAATTATTTAAAATTTTATTTTAAAAGTAACATAAATTTTTAAAGATAATTGTTGAAAAGTCTAAGATAAGAATGGCATGAGGTATTAGGTCTAGTGGATATTTTTTATTAGTGAGAGGTCCACTCTTTATGAAATAATTTAGTGAGAAATCCTTTCGTTGATTTTAGATGACATTTGTTTCTAATTTTATTCATTAATTTATCAGTTGACTAGACTATTTGTTCAAATTTATATTTATCTGTTCAAATTTTATTTGTGTAAATTTTCTATTTGTTGATTTTTTTTTAAATCTATCTATTAAAATTTATCAAGTTTATTTTTAATCTATTTGTTCAAATGCTGATATTATCCATTTGATTTGATCTTATTTGTTTAAATTTTGATATGTTCAATTTTTTGACCTATTTGTTCAATTTTTATATCTATTTGTTGAGCCTACTTTCTTTATCTCTATTTTCCAGACCAAAAATATGGATCTACAAGCTGGTTCATCATTAACAACAACACATCATCATCAAAGAATTACAATAGCATAGCAAAAAAAAAAAAAAAAAAGGAAAAAAAAGTAGGTAAATAAATACACTAAGGGTTTCAACTCAGATCTGTGCACGACCTAAGGACGACGATGACATATAAACTCATCAAGAAGATGACAACGAGGATATCATCAAATCATCTCAAGATCAAGAAAATCAAGAACATAGTAGAGAGGTGAAAACAACAAGAGAAATAGATCAATGTTGGACACCGAGTCACAAATCACTACAACAAACAAAAAAGTTTTGGCAACACAACAAAATTCGTCGCCATTTGTCGACTTGTAGAGCTTCGTTGGTAACTCGTCGCTGAAAGTGTGTCGGGAAAAGTTTTTACCAACGAAAAATTCATTACATCGCCAAAAGTATGTCTTTAGCGACAAACATCTTTGTGGGTAAAAGCCTTCAACCATCGTCACCAATTTACCATTGCGTTGGCAAAAGTAGTTCAAATAAGATAATTATGTGTCATTTTTGCCGACTCAAATTTGCATCGGTAAAAATGATACTTTTGGCAACAACTTGACTGCGTTGGCAAAATATCTAATTGTTTTATAAAAAATAAATAAATTAATTTGGTATTTGTGATAGCAAAAATTACCATCACAAATAACAAATTACTTTCCAATCAAAAAATTATTAAATAATATCCACACTTTAATTCATTGACATCCAAATATATATAAATAAATTTTATTTATGATAACAACAATAGCCCATGTGTTCTTATAATCCAAAATTTAAGTTTATGTACAACAATACCTAAATTTAAACCAAGTACAAAATAAATAAAATCAAGTCAATCCCAATTAGAAAGATATGTTTAATGCAACTATAGCATCACCAATGACAATAAGCAAATGCATGTGAACAAGCCTTTTCTTATTTCCAATTAGCACTCGAGCAAGATCATAATCTCCATCTTCAACAACCTACATTCAAGAAAGAAAAAGTTTTTTTTTTATTATTATTATTAATATTATCATAAATGAAAATTTAAACTTGAAAATTTAGAGGACTGAGATTTAAGGGAAATGCATAAAGAAATCTCAAAAATATTGAGTTAAAGCATTGGCAGAAAAGAAAAATATCCCAAGCGGCAACAGTAACACAGAGGGAAATGGAATTTCAAATAATTTCTTAGCATAACAAGAGAAAAATAAACAATAAATTAGTTGTACCTGGCACAATAGTTCACCACCAAACATTGCTAAATCAATCTACAAAATAAAGTTCAATTACTTTGATAAGTAAAAATAAGATAATTGAAATCAAATAACATAAAAAGAAACCAATTTGTGACATCTAAGATGAATTCAGTCATGATCAAATACCAAGAGTTAGAACCAAAAAAAAAAAAAGAAAAAAAAAAAAAAAAAAAACCCAAAAGAACCAAAGAATACTTATGATCTTCCTACTTCTCTCAATCCAGTGATACAGAGTTCATACTATGCCACATGACAAAAGAACGAAAGAAAATAGGCAATTCTAGCTAAACATAAAACCAGTAAATAATCTTAATTCTTTGTCATTGTACACTAAAATTCAATCAACCATTATTTTTTAAAAAACATTTCTTTTCAATGGATTGGTAGCAATTCTTGGACCCGTGACTTAAGGATGTTGGTATTTCAACTCATGCATTGATCATGAAGTTTATGAGGATTTGGTGTCAATCATCATCATTTCAAGAAGGGAACACATTCACTAATCACCACCAAAATATATAATTGTAAATGCCTAACTAATCTACTTTATGGTTTATGGGAATCGTAAAATTCGAAAAAGAAAAATCAATCCCAAAGATGTTAAAATATAAAACACAACTGTCCATATTGGGAAATATATATATATATATATATGACTATTATAGGTTTGAGAAATTCTATATAAACGCAAATAAAATAAAAATAAAAATAAGGTGAAAAAGAAAATGTAAGAGCTCATAGATTTATTTATTTATTTATTAATGCTTTGGGCTATATGAACTCTAACAAACATTAATGGTAAAACATGACTGTGTTGAAGTCCACTCTGTTAAAATGAATCATGAAAATGATATATATATATATATATATATATGTGTGTGTGTGTGTATTAAAACACTAAAGTATTAATACCATAAAACATGATTGTGTTGAAGTCTAATATGTCGTTAAAATGAATCAAGAAGATGATATCTATGTATTAAAACACCAAAATATTAATTACCAGAAGTAGTATACAAGATGGGACATTGGTTAATAAAGCCTAAATAGTTAAACATTCGTTATGACATGATCTATAATAAAGAACCTACAACCATTTCAAGCTTCTTAGCAGATTTCTCTTAGGTACATGTTAACAAAATCCCATATATATTAATGAAATGCCTACTTAACAAAAATCAAAGTACACTAAAATGGAGAACACTAAGGCTATGTTTGGATCATGAATTTAGGCTGGGATTTAGAAAAGAAAATGGGAAATCTAGGTGAGATTTGAATGAAATATAGCTACATTTTACACATTTTCCCTTTCCCTTTCCCTTTCAAAATGCCTATCCAAATCAATAATCCAAACACAGCCTAAATCAATTAAACAATTTTATCAGCATCATAAGACCTATAACATTTCTGGTCAATAAATAAATAAGACCTATAACATTAAAGATTATTTGGTCAAGGTTGATACTAGGAATGTGTGACATACATAGATCTAAAATTGAACCTTAGATTAAGATCGATTTACTAGGGCCACTTTGTTACATCTCTTTCTTAGTCCAGTATGATAAAATGATGAGTTATTATTTTATTTTTTTTTATCACAAAGATGAAAATAATTGTTTACCATTCAAATTTTATCAAAATTCTCCATGAGCATCATAAAAAATCATCTGGTGGTTCTATTTGGGGGTACAAGACCAAACTTTGCTCTTTAAAAAAACCCTACTCACACTGAATTAAGTGAACTTCAACATGTGCCCACGTGCTTATGTGCAAACATAATTATGATCAAACATGATTAAGAATACAAAATCAAGACAACTTATTGACACCCAAATGTTACAACAGTTATACTTTTTTTGACTAAGCAATTAAAAGATATCATCAAACAAACTTAGTAATAAAATTGCTAACTTTGGCTGGACAAATCAGACAATAATTTCCTACTTTAGTTATCATGCAAATCAACATAGAGCAGAAATCAAAGTCATGAGATCAGAGGAAATGCATAAAGAAGCTACTCCGACCAACAAAACTAACATCAAGAATGCACTTACGATTTAATGTTGCAGAGGAACAATCTTCAGTTACCAGAGGATTTCCTTTCACAATTGAATTGTTATCAACATCTTGGTGCTCCTTGTCAAAGTCAAACTCAAGTTATTGTATTGCTTGATTCCCAGTGCAATATTCAACTCAAACAACAAATCAATCAAAAATTAACTAGCAATCAAAATTTTTTTTTTTTTGGAAGATAAAATTGAAATAAAAAAAAATAAAAAAAAAGGGAACCTGAGTGAGTTGAGACACGAAAGAGTCGTGATCGTGAACATCGGAAGCAACGGAGCAATGATTAATGCTATCGAAAGTGGAAGAGAAGAGGCTGAAGTTGGATTCGACGGTGAAAATGATAGAATCGGGGTTGGTGTCTCGATGTCTGAATGCGGATGATCTCTGCTGGTTTTGATCATCAAACCCTAGTAGCTAAGGCATTGTTGTCTGCTGTTTCTCATCACAATCTTAGAGAAAGAGAGAGAGAGAGAGAGAGAGAGAGAGAGAGAGAGAGAGAGAGAGAGAGAGAGCCACCATGGCGAGCGAGAGAGACAGAGATCGGAAAGTGAAAGTGAAAAGAGTTAGGGCATAGATAAAAGAAAGGGGCAAAATTAAATAAAAGAAAAAATTAGTCCCCAATTTGCTGTTGCAAATATTATTTTTTGTGATCGTTGAATAATCGATAGAAAAAAATTAGTTGTAAAATGTTATTTTCTAATAGGGATGGCAATGGATAACCTACCCTGTGGGTATTCATGGAGACCCAACTCAAATACATGAGTTTCTCCTTTTTTTCTTATCCATTGGGTAGGGTAAGTGATATTCTTTAAATATCCATAGGGGATGGGTTGAGGATGGGTACCCACTAATTTCCCCATATGTTTTTTTTTTTTTTTTTTTTGTTTTTTTAAGGCATTTTTTTTTTTTTTTTTTTTTTAATTCACAACCAAAACTAAATATACATTCAATTTTTTTTTCTTTTATTTATTTATTTATTTTTTCAGGTTCACAACCAAATTTTTTTTTAAGATCCACAACCAAAGCTAAATATACATCTAATTTTTATTTTTAAGGTTCACAACCATTTTTTTTTTAATTTTTAAGATTCATAACCAAAACTAAATATACATTCAATCTTTTTTCTTTTGTTTTTCTTTTAATTTTTTTTTTAAGGTTTAGGGTTAGGAATGGCAACGGGGCGGGGCGGGGCTGGGGATTGCCCTCCCCGTCCCCGATCCCCGAAAGTATGGAACCCCCCGTCCCCGCCCCCGATCCCCGACGGGGAACCCCTCACTAATTTAAAAATATATATATAATTACACGTTAATTACAAAAGTGATTGAAAAAAATATATATAATCACATTTAATTGAAAAGTGACATAAAAAATAAATATTATCACACTCAATAAAATCAAGTGTGATTAAAATATCAATCTAATTTTTTATTTATTTATCCCACTTTCAATAAAAGTAAGATATTTTTATTTATCAAAGTGTGATCTTTAATTGTTTTTGTAGTAGTGCCATAACATTGACCCCTTGATCAAAATTCTACAAACCCATAATCAAAATTGCAGTTAAAAACATCAAATAATTGAACAAATATGAAGTGAATGTGTGTGTGTGTGTGTGAGAGAGAGAGAGAGAAGAGAGAGAGAGAGAGAGAGAGAATGGTGGAATCCAAACATACCTCAAGAATCAAACTGATATTTTCCAGATCGAAGAAAAGAGAATGAAGCCCTTTCCCTTCGAACGGTCGATCATCGCTGCCGCCCAAGTAGTCTTATCGCCGAAGAGAGAGCAGCGTTTCTAAGTTGAAATCTCGCTGCTACCGAAGAATGAAAATCATGGAGAGTGACAAGGGGTTTACCTATCTTGGAAAAATAAAAAAAAGTGGGAATTTTGAGGGGAACTTTCCACCGTCTCAATTTTTAGAGACAGATCACCAAAAAAAAAAAAAAATTATTTTTTATTTTTTGAAAAAATTAAAACTAATTTGAGAATTATAAAAATCAAAAATATATTTTTAAAATTTTAAAAATGATTTATGACCTCCTCAAAGATAAAATATACAAAAATAATAAATATTTTTTTTTCACCAATTTTTTTTTTGTTTTTGTTTTTTTGTTTTTTAGAAAAAAAAAATTATGAAATAAGTTTTTGAAAATAAAACCAAACATATTGAAATTGATATTCTAACCACATTCTTTGAAAAAGTTTAGATTATCTCAAATTAGCCATATCAACTTAAGAGTGTGTCTGGGCTTGATTGGTTCATTTTGTGATTTAATTCGATGATCACTTTAATTTTTCAATTCAATAACTAGAATATTTAAAACTCTTTATATTAATATGGGTCTATGTACTATATAAATAATATCTGTTGCATATATAATCATATGGTGTTATAGATATGTAGTGGAAGGAGTGTATTGTATAAGGTTTATAGTGTGAGAGGGTTGATGGTTTGAATCTCCACAAGAGCAAATGAGAAGCTAGTGAGTGTAATATTTTTTTTTTTTACATCTAAATGTTATTAATCACACTTAAAAGATGTGATCTAAATACTTTTAATCACACTTAAATTAATCACACTCCCAAATCTCAAATTTAGTAGCTAAAAGGTAGGTTTTGCCGACTAAATAAAATAGTAGCCAAATGTTTCACTTTCAACGACCAAACACACGTTTAGTCGCTAAAACATTCGCTGACTGTAACGCCCTCAAAATTAACCCATTATATATCATTGACATGAATTATTTAAAGAAGACATTTTATTAATTCATTCATCAGAGTATTACTAAATAATCGAATAAAATGCCCTACAGGCTTACATCTTTCCAAGCCAACACTTGGATACAAAAATACGAGTTCTAACTCAATACAAGAAAAGCCCTAGGCTTGAGTTTTTACATGTACTAACTCGCTATACTGACAAGGTTTATGCGACTAAGTTGGCGACAAAAAATTTTAGTCGCTAATTGGTTTTGGCGATTAATATTTTGGTTGGCGAAACTGTTATTTCTTGTAGTGATAATATTATCTATTATACTTTATTTTCATTCGTTTAGTGATTTATTATTTTTTATTAAATAATAATAATTATTTTTTTTTACAGGAATTATGCCATCTTTCTTCATTGGGCTCCCTTATTTTTCAACTGGAAAGATAGGGTAAGGTGGTTCAATATTGTAGAAAAATTCTCAAAGCAGAATTTTCAATATTTTAAAACCACCTTAATATTTGATGGAAATAAGGTAGCACAACAAAAGAAAGTAGGGCAAAAGAGAAAGAGGAAGCCCGAATTGAATAAAGGATATTCCATGCCTAAAATGGCAGGTTGGGATGCTAAGGTAGAAGCCTTAGATGAGGAAGACCCTGTTAGACATCTTTTTGAGCATGGGGTATGTTAGAGCTACCGTGAATCGGGAGGCATCTATTGGATTTGCAGAAATGCCCTGCACCATTATGGTGAACATGTAATACCATAGTATTTTATATTTTAGTTCTTATTTATATATTAAGTTTTATTATTTAGGTAGCATGTTAATTTCTTTTAATAGATTTTTTGGAATAATTCTTTTAATAGGTTAAACCAAGTGAAAAGGACGCCGATCAAATGGCTATGGAGGATTTTCTGCGGTTATTCCCACAAGCTATACCATGTATATTTGACAGGCTAATAAAAGCCTTTCATCCCTCGAATTCAAATTTTCAGTGAGTGTTACTAATGTTGTATGTGCATAAATACACTATTGATTTTTATTTTCATTTATTTAAAATTATTATTATTGTTATTTTGTTTTGTAGGAAAGATTTGGCGACTTACCTGAAAGAGGCATTTATAGTAGTTTGAAGCAATGTAAGTTTCAAAGCTTTGTTTCGAGTAATATATTTATTTTTATGTGTTTTTGTTAATAAGTGCATTTGTTAAGAATTTATTTATTAACTTAATTACCCCACTATTATAAAGATTGAGAAAAGTAATAAATGTATTTTAAAACACAACTTTTGTTCATATTATGACTTAAATACCCTCACTTCGTTTCTTTTTTTTTTTTTCTCTCTTTTATCTTTTTACAGCCACCTTTTCAAACTATTTCATTTCTCACCCTTTCATTAGCTTCGTACTTCACATTTATTTTGTTTTTATCATTGAGAACATTGTTAGACAAAAAGAATACTGATCAATATAATGATTTCATATTTATTTTATTTTATTACAAAAACTATACCATAATATCATTATTATTTTTGTTAGATTGACTTTACAATAAATATATTATTATTTTTGCTTTGAGAATTTTTGTACTAGATTGAACCACTTTACCCTATCTTTCCAGTTGAAAAACATGGGAGCCCAGTAAAAAAAAAAAAATAGCATGTTTCCTGTAACAAGCAATGCAAGTTCCAAAGCTTTGTTTTAGGTAATATATTTATTTTTGTGTTTTTGTTAATAAGTGCATTTATTAAGAATTTATTTATTAAATTAATTACCCCACTATTATAAAGATTGAGAAAAGTAATAATGTCTTTTAAAACACAACTTTTTGTTGGTATTGTGACTTAAATACCCTCACTTCCTTTCTTTTTCTTGTTTTTTTTTTTTTTTGGCCTTTTTTTTTTTTAAAGCCCCCTTTT